ATGACTGTGAATCACTGGAAATCTAACAGAATCATCTTTCCCTTCAACACCAGCAGTTCTGCTGGAATATCTTACATGACAATAAGGCATTATAAAAAGTGAGACAGATAAGAAATTTATTTATAAATGGTTGCATTTAATGATTAAAATTATTGAAAAATTGTAGTGTCATCGAGAGCTTAAATATCATAAATACATCAAATGACAAATTCTGGACAAAACAATTGCTTCAAAAACATGTTCCTTACCTTAGAAAGAGCGTTTTTGGCCAGTTCCAGTGCTTGAAGATGGCTGAAGGCATGCTTGTTATCTGTAATGAGGCAATAATAAAATCAATTACTCTGGATTACTACAGCTTTAATAAACTTTAGTTGGAGCTGTTAAGAATTGGAAAAATAACAGGCTTTTTTCTATTGAAGACTACTGAAAGTATAAAGTGGCAACTCTAATCCACAGTGAGGGTTATAAAAACAGACTTTCCCTGCTTTCTCCACTTCCCACTTTACTGAAAAATAAATTTGCCTAATTTTTTTACCTTCAATAGCAAGTTTCTCTCTTCTCTCTGTATCTGTTTTGCTGTGTAATTATTGGTATGGATGACAGTGTTCTTTCTTAGCATCTTTCTACTAGATTTATAACAGCCACTGCTAGCAAGGAAAATGTTACGGGCTTTCAGAAAACATATGAATGAAGTGAATAAGACCTGCCAAAAGAGTACTTATTTTTCAGGAACTTATTTTTCAAAAGTTTGTTTTCATTCCTTTCTTGGAAGTAGAACTGAAGATTTGGCATTAGTACATACTAAAATACCAAAGATACCAAATCACCATACCTAAGTGTACACAGAATATGTCTGCTATCATAACATAATTGACCAAATGTTACCTAATTCTTCAGAATGGGTTGAAAACTTTTCTGTGTCAAGATTTATGCCAAACCAACTTTTATCTTTTTGTTTTTCCTAGTATTTGTAGCATTTGCTCAACACTGGTGGTTCCACCACAATATTTCAAAAAATTAACAGCTCAGAAGAACAACTGTAAATCAAATTCAGTTTCCATTCAGTCAAGCATTTTGGCAACAGATTAAAAAAATGTTTTCATTATAAGGAAAGGCTAGATCAGTATATGAGGAATTTCTGAGAAATGTCTGTTTCCGCACAACAGTAGTGACAGTTACAGGCTTTGGAATTCCAACACTGGTCTTCCATTCCCTGCAGCCTCCCCAAACGTTCGACATCAAATAGTAAAATTATGATTGTATTCTGTCCTGTTTTTCAAAGCAGCACAAAATACCACAGGACTTCAACGATGCTAAGAAGCACTTGATGATGGCCCTTTTTAAAATATTTATATTTTTATTGGTTTTTGTAAATAGTGATAACATTGATACAACAAATGGTTACATAACTGCTTAAAAGTGAATATAACGCAATGTGTAAGCTATATCATTACAGCTCTTGTACATACAATACATGTTTTCATTTTTCAGGGATGTTTTCAATCTGTCCAATGTAACATAAGCATCAGTGAGAAATTCTCTGAATTTGAGTGGAGGTAGTAGCAAACTCAATGGCTTTTCTTAGAACATCACTATGCATCACTCCACCAGGCAGTCTGAAGGTCAGGTCCAAAAGTATGACCCCATTTGACCTGGAAGCCCTGCCTCCCTTTGATCACATTATAGGCACAATCTTATTTTGTGCTTAATATGAATTGATTCTTGACACTGAAACTGGATTGTAGGCTTACATCCTCTCTTAAATTAAGCCTGGCCACCAGTACGCTCTCTTGTTTTAGGGAACATTTTATTTTTAACTCTGTATATTGCACATGCACACTGAATTACACTGTGGTTCTGTCCTGTTTCACCTTTCCCACAACCTCCTTGAAGAAGGATAGACAGAGTATCTTGATCTGCTCCTTCGTCTTGCCCACTAAAGGAGGGCATTCAGTCATTAGTTTGTTGTTGTTCAGTCGCACAGTTGAGTCCGACTCTTCGCGACCCCATGGACCACATCATGCCAGGCCCTCCTGTCTTCAGTGTTTACTGAGTGGTTATTTCAGCCTAGCTATCTCACAGGATAACTGTGAGCATGAACTGATACAAGGATTCATAAAAAGATGTGTTTTGACCTATCTGAGCACTTGTGAGTGTAAAAATAAAGAAGTATAAATAAAGTGCAATGGTGATCTTGGAACTGTAGATTTATCTTTAAATTTTAAAGTTAATAAATACCAAAGTTCAATAGTAAAAGTTTGCTGTTTCCAGTACTTCTAGAACACAGGATCATTTTCACAACATTTTCAGAAACAAATTAAGTAGGGCCCCGGTCACACGGGCTGGATATTGCGGGTGGGGAGGCGTGGCTAATTACCCCGGTGCAGTTTGATCCGCGATTACGCGATCAGCGGCACACCACGGGTCCTTCCCTCGGCGCCGGCAGGTAAATAAGGGACCGGAGGGGAATGCCGCGTGCCGGCGCGATCACACCACTGGCGTCTGGACGCAGCCCGTGGCAAACGTTTACTAGTACCTTGAAGGTACTAGTTTTTTAACGCGCATTCTCTGCGGTAAGCCATGGGTGCGCTCCACTTCCCAGATGGGTGCGCTCCACTTCCCAGATCCGCCCACCATCCGTGCCTCTCCCGCGGCAATTTTGCTGTGTGACCAGGGCCTAAGAATGTTTTTTTGGTCTACAGCATTGAGGAATTAATCTCTAGAGATCATTTATTGTGGCTATTAATGTGCTGCAGGTTCATTGTTATTATAATGCATTTCATTCTCTTCTACAAAGGAGTCTCTAGATCCCAAAGACAAGACCACACACTCTTAACTACATTTGATATGTGGCAAAACCACTTTGCCACTTGGCAGGATAAGAAAAACGGCCAAGCAACCCTGGAAGTAAATACTTTACCATGTGGAATTTATAGACAGCGTCAATGTTCCCTCTAAGCTGTGGGGTCTTGTGAGCAAAAATTCTACTTCATGAGCTACTGGCATTAAAGTTGTGAGCCAGCGATTTGGCTCCTGCATAAATTAGTTGGCTCTGGAGCCATTCTTCCTGAACTAAGACAAAAATCTGTGAGCCGGAAGCTAAAAACCTGTGAGCTGGCTCACACTAACTCAGCTTAGAGGGAACACTGGACAGCGTACGTGTTTTTTATCAGGAAAGTCCTGCATCAGGAAAATGTGCTGATCTCTACAGAAGTGAAGTAGGATATGTTCAATAATATGGGCTGCATGATATTGTTCTGTATACTTTTAGGCATGTGCAGAGTGCCTTTCCTTTATGAAAGAAATGTTTTTAAAATATCTCCTCAGAAGATACATCTGGGACACAAGCTCTTTTCTCCTCTGACAGCAAGCAGCTGTTTTTGTTTTGTTTGAAAGAAATCATTATAGACATAATCCTACAGTCTTCTCTTGTCCCACTGTGAATGTACCATTTATTACTTTTTTAAAGAATGTCTTATAGAAATGTCTTTTGGCCCTGATCTGATTCTGACATTTCTCTAGGAGAATGAAATTCTTACCAACCAGCAATGCAAATCGGTGTGTATTGCAGACATGTCTTCGTTTAAATGTGACTAAGCAATTAAATATGCTATAACGTGTATGACAATAATACATGAATTAAATTCAGTGTTTTCACTCTTGCAAAGGTTAATTCTGTATCTAAAGATTCTGCTGCTCTTAGCGTGATTGTTTCTGTCCAAATCATATTCTTTTTCAACATTTTTGTTTATTCATCTTACTCTTTACCTTTCTGATAGCAAAAACTAAGGTACACATGTTATGTGAGCATAGGCTGCAGTAATATTCATCTCTCTATCTAGTACTGTGTATATTTGCAATTTTGCTTTTACAAACCTAAGGTACTTATAGTTTTAAATTTCATGAATATCAATGTCATATGCTAAAACTTTCTGTTGTTAAAGTAATAAGACCATGTTTGGATCGATAATAAAGCATTGCATAGATTTCAAGTTTTCCCTAAATTTCTATTCTCCCCCCACTATTTTTTTCTCCATGGCTTCAACGTTTATGGACATATTAAACTACTTTTGATGGAATACTGGGGAGCCAGACAGCAATTCAAGAGAAGTTAAAACTAGATTTTAAGGGATTGGGAAAACTAACAGGACAAAAAACTATGAGCTTCTCTCAGGGCAGTAATGTTAGTAAGTTATGAGAAATTAATTAAATAACTATAGGCTCCAGTATAAGTAACCATAGTGCCCAAATAACCACCAATAGTAGAAACTCCCTACTGCATTTCTACATGGTGCCTTTGGGCCTTGCTCTTCTTTCAGCCATTGTGTGGCTGGATGGATGATTTTCTGTTTCTGCCTCTGAATGGATCATTCAATCACTCTCTGTGCAAAAACCAGCAAAATGGTACCCCGCTCGCAGGAGGCTGTTTGTCGCATCTCGTCTATGAGTCAGTGTTCTGGGTTTGCTTGTTCCTTTATCATGAGAAGACTTATGCAACAACACCAAAAAGACAGAAAAAAATACTAAGTAAGGAAGTTTCACTACGGACGGGTAATCCTCTTACATAGTTCAAAAGGAAAACTTTTTGGGGTGTAAGAGCCAGTGTTCCCTCTAACCTGAGTTCGTGTGAGCTAGTTTTTTAGTCTCCGGCTCACACATTTTTGTCTTCGCTCAGGAAGGATGGGTCCAGAGTCCAGAACAAGCTAATTTACGCAGCAGCCGAATCGCTGGCTCACCACTTTAATGCCAGTAGCTCACAAAGTAGAATTTCTGCTCACAAGACTCCACAGCTTAGAGGGAGCACTGGTAAGAGCCAAGTGTGTCCTTCCAGTTTTAATTCGGGAAGAGGGGGGGAAGCGTGCCTCAGTTAACGTGGAGGGCCACTTCCTCTTTCGTGAACTTGTTCCTCACAGGGACTGGTGGAGACCTGAGACGGCGTCCGTCTAAGACAAAGAGGGCTCCCCCGTGCCTACCTGGGCCCCCGCCACCCTCACACGGAGGGGAAGGCAAGGCTCAGCAGCCCGAGGAGGACGCGGGTCCGCGCCTTTCATGCTCCGCCCAGGCTGACGGCAGCCGGGAGGAATGCGCTTCCGGAGGCGATGAGGGAGCCGCGGCGGCGCTTGCAGGCCTGGACCTTCCCTCCGCTTGGCTCTGCAGATGGTGCGGTGGGAAGGAGCGGCTCTGCGAGGCGAGGCGGGCGGGACGGCGCAGCCCTCACCCCCACGGCGGCGGCGGAGGCGCTGCTCTGAGTAAGGCCCGGCCAGGCCAGGCCCGCCCCGGAACGCCGCGAGGGGGGAAGCGGCGGCGGCGGCAGCACTGAGGAGGCGTCTCGCGGCCAGGGAGGAAGAGAACGGGATCCCGCCCCGCCGCCAACGTCGCCGAGCCCTCGAGGGAAGGGGGGCCCTTTATAGCAGAGCCTCGGCCATGGCAAAAAAAAAGGGGGGGGGAGTCTGAGGCGAAGAAGGGAGGCCGCCGCCGCCGCCGCCCGCCCCCATCCCACAGCTGAGGGCCTTTGGGTCTCCTTTTCGAAAAGCTTCTAGCGAAGGCTTTCCTTATAAGGGTATTTTGTGGGGTGTGCTTCGTGGTGGGGAAGAGTTGAAGTTGTCCTCGTGGAGAAGACATTGCACCGTCTGGGAAGCGGATGCAAACAATCCCCCACCCCGCCCAAGTCTGAAACAACCCTTTTTCGCTGGAGCTCTTTCCACCTCCACCTCCTTTTTTTGCAGCCTGGTAAAGTTGATGTGCAGGGTTGAAAGTAGAATATAGAACAAGGATGGCACGAGGCTAATGCATTTGGGGAGCGTCCAAGCGGTGGCAGAGTTGGGTGAGCACAACAGCCCCTTTTGGCTACCATCCCTGGCCAGATAGGCGGAGTGGGCTATTCAGGCCTACTGGGTGGAAAGTGTCATCGCTTGCTGCTTGCTTGGTGGGAAGACATCTCCTTCTCCCCACATACACACACATGCACACTTAAAGTCACCTTGCAGGCTTTTAAGGCTTTCATTTTAAATTCGTTGTGAATCGGCTGTGATTGATGGCTCATTTGCTTTGATTCTTGACGTTATGCTACTCTGGTGTGGGGTGACAGACGGAGAGAGGCGCCCTTCTCTGTTAACCTACCTTGGCAGAAGGAGAATGGGAAAACCAAGTGTGCTGCCTAGTAAGGAGAGGAGCAGGAAATAGCAGTTGTGTCACTCACAGAAAGACTGTTATAAAGCTTCAGTGTGGTGCCTGTGTGTTCGAAAGCAAGTTTTGTGAGCTTCAGTGGAACTTATTTCCAACTGTGTCTAGTGACTGTTGCCTAATATCATGGATCCTAATCTTAAAACCTATTTCCGGCCCCGATCACACCACAAAGTTGCTGTGGGAGAGACACAGATGGTGGGCGGATTATCTGGGCGCGATCACACCCCAACATCTGGGAAGTGGAGCGCACCTGTGGCTTACTGCCGACAATGTGCGTAAAAAACTAGTACCTCCTGAAAAATACTGGGATGTAAAGAACAATTTGATTTGCTTTGATAGTTACTAAAAATTAAATGATAATAGAATAAGGATAAATATATAAGAATATTAGTTGATATATAAGTTACCTATAGATTGTGAATAGCGAGAAAGGGAGGTATAAAGAAAATCTAAGATATGGGCTGGAGGTTGGAGCACTGTGGGAAGCCGGAAGGGAGTGGGGTGTAGTAGAAAAGGATGTACGATAACTAATTTGTTATATGTTTAACTTTTTATTATGTCCTAATAAATTGTTTTGGGAAAAGAAAAAGAAAAACTAGTACCTCCAAGGTACTAGTAAACGTTTGCCATGGGCTGCCTCCAGATGGCCGTGGTGTGATCACGCCAGCGCGTGCCGGCGCTAAGGGAAGGACCCGTGGTGTGCTGCCGGCGTGTCTGATCGCATAATTGCGGATCAAACTGCGCCGGGGCAATTAGCTACGCCTCCCCCCCCCCCACAATATCCGGCCCATGTGACCGGGGCCTCCATTGAGTTTCACAGGTTTTTCTTCAGATGAATGTTTCAGTTTCAGTTGACAAACTTAATCATGGCTGTGGTCACACAGCCAGGAAAATGCGGAGGGGAAGCGTAGCTGTTTGCCCCGGGGGAAACGAAAGCGCGGTTGGGCGATCAGACCTCCCATGGAGGTCCCGTGGAGATTCCATGGAGGTCCCGTGGTTAGGGAGAGGTGCGGATCACACAGAAGTGGGGCCTTGGGGCAAAGAAGCGGGGGCCGCGCACGAGGGAAGGCAAGGAGGGGGCTGCCAGAGACAGCTGGCCAAGCGGCGCTGGGGAGAGGAGGGGCCAGCTGGCGACTGGGTGGTGTGGCATCGTGTCGGGCTCGGCGTTTTCCCCACCAGTGAGGCAGGCAGGGGGTGGGCAGTAGTTCTGGAAGGGCAACAGTCCGGGGAGCCGGCTGGTGGGGCGCGCGAAGAGGGCAAAGCAGCATGGCTCAGCCCCCTCCGCCCTGACCGCCCCTTCCCCAAGGAGACTTCCTAATCTGCCACCGCGCCCCCCTCTTCTGGGCTTCATCTCAGCCGCTGTATCGGCTGCCTTGTCCCCTTTCCCCCTATCTATTTGTCGCTCGCCTCAAGCCGTGCGCTCTTTGTGGCTTTCTTGAGGCTGCTCTCCTCTTCTCTGCACGACGTAAGTTGTGTGGGTTGTTTTTTTTATTAAACTAACGTTTGCGCATGCTCTGTTGATTGCTTTTGTGCATCCATGGAGACTTGGGGGGGAAAAAAACACCTTCTAGCTAGGGGACATGGGCGGGTGCCGGAACTACCTCCGGAAATGCGATCAGACGCCCGCCCTTTGCCCCGCTGTTTCCGGAAACTAGTACCTCCGAGGTACTAGTTTTTTACTCCGCTGTTTTGGCGTTTAGGCACGGGTTAGCGACGGGAGCTCTACACTTGCCAGATGTTGCCATGTGATCGCGCCAGGAAACTCCGCCTCTCTTCCGTCTCTCTAGCGTGGCTTATGCTCCGTGTGACCGCAGCCCATATTAATGTTTGCTTGAAATAAGTTTGCTTGTTTCTTCCTGTTGTTGCAGCCACAGGCAATGCATTTGTGTTTTTTGTCTTACCAGGTTTCATTTCCATGACACCTTATGTGGTCACAGTTTCTCTGTACTTGCATACATGTTTTGGATATAATTAATTGCATTTTGCACTAGTATGGTCATGCATGTTGTCATTTAACATGACCTTGTAGGGATTTTTGGTTGCATACTGTTCTTCCTCTTTCTTGCCTTCTCTGTCCCTCTCCTTCTGAGCAACACTTAAAGTTATGTTTTCACTCTTAATCATTTTTATGTGGTTTCTCCTGTTTGTCACCTTAAAGTACTTAGTGTGTCTATATTGCAACAGTGCAAAAACCTTCCTTGGAGCTCAAAGGTGTAGTTTATCTTCAAAACAAATCTGAAGTGGGTTAGGCTCACAAAAGGTGAGTTAACCATGGCCATGCAATGAGCTTTGTGGCTTAAGTAGGTATTTGAGCATGGGTTTCCAATGCTATAGCTTCTGAATCAGTGGAACTGTCAGATGCTTTGCAAATCTCTATAAAGTCCCTGTCATTTTTGCTGCTTTTTGGCTGGGACCTGCTGTTAGTATGCATGTATACAGAGCAAGGTTACCATGCCGCCTGGCTATTTTTGTATGCAAGCTGAGAGGGACAGCAGTAGAGCAAGGCGAAATCACTGAAGATAATTCCTTTGTAGCATAGGCTGGTCAAGGAACTTTGACTCCTCCTTTTTCTGTCATGTGACTTTTGGTCACATGAGCAGTGGGTTCCATAGTGCAACTTTGGGGTTAAGTTGGGTTCTGGGTCTGGACAGATTTGAAGACCATAGATCTGCACCATGCTGCTAATGTTCCTTGTGGATTTGCCTCAACCTTCACTCTTGACATATACACCTTTCCAGTGTTTGGTGTTAAACTTACTAATGTTTGAATTCTCTGGTACTTATCTCCAAGCAAACATCTATGGAATTTGGTACTTCTGAGTAATGCTAGAGTTCTTAGTAATACTGGAGCTAGACTTCTGAGTAATGCTAGAGTTTAGAGCCGCTACTTCTGTCTTCTTGTACCTCAGTAATTGGCTGTAGAACCCTTATCCACTGCCACATCTTTTGTACTTCTAGTTTTATCCACTTGAAATCCCACATTAACTGTAGTGTAATCTGGGTGATTTTGAATTGATCTGTTGTATATGATTTCCTTCAGATTGTTTCCTTAATCTGCTAACTGCACTTTAGTACCCTCCTTGAATTTTTATATTGAAACATGGGTTAAATATTTGTTAATAAAATAATGTTTACTAGCCAATATGAAAGCAAGAAGTCCTAAGTGCTGGAAAGCTGTATTTGTGCTCATGTGGTGGGTGATCAAAAGTGCAGCTGATTTATGGAGACCTTGTAGGGTTTTCAAGGCAAGAGATGTTCAGAGGTGGTTTGTCATTGCCCACCTTTGCATTGCAACCTTGAACTTCCCTGGTGGTCTCCCATCCATATTCTTACCAGGGTCAACCCTGCTTAACTTCCAAGATCTGATGAGATCAGGCTGGCCTGGGCTATCCAGGTCAGGCCATTTGTGTTTATGGGAAGTAATTAACTTGAGAGCAATGTTGAAGTGTCCATATAAAAGAGAAGCAAAATATCAACAGAAGGTAATATAGGAATGTAACTGAATGGAGAAGGTACACAAATGCTGTTCCTCTGAAACGGTATAAATTCTGCAGTTTAATAACTGAGTAGCTTCTGCTCTTATGAAAAAAGAGTTTTGTAAAGATTGCATGCACACACGAGTCCTTTTTAGACATTACAACTACTCCTACTGGGAACCTACCAACAAAGAGCGGTGCTGCATTCAATATCCCCAGTGTGTCTGGTGTGCTAGAGCAGTATGCACATAAAAAATCTTTGAGTTGCCCATTTCACATGAAATGTTGGCCACGTGTATCATGAGTACTCTCTGTTGCACACGTTCCCATTGGTAGGCTCCCAATGGGCGTGTTAGTGACATCTGAAAACGACTGCAGTTACTTCCTCTCCTAAATCAGGATTCAAAATTATCTAGATAGGCTGGAACAGTGGGCTGAGACAAATAAAATGAATTTCAATAGCGATAAGTACAAAGTCTTACGCTTAAGTACAAAAAAAAATCAAAGGCACAGATATAGAATGGGAGGGACTTGGCTTGACAGCAGCACATGTAAAAGGAATCTAGGTGTTCCGGTTCATCACAAGCTAAACATGAGCCTGCAGTGTGATGTGGCTGCGAAGAAAGCTAATGCGTGTCCAGAAGAGGGCAACCAGAATGGTGAGAGGGTTTGAATCCAAGTCTTATGAGGAAAGGCTGAAAGAGTTGGGTATGTTTAGCCTGGGAAAGAGAAGGCTTAGAGGGGACATGATTGCAGTCTTCAAATATTT